TTCCTGAGTGGCAAATATCACTCTGCTCTTGCATAAAGGGATGGGATGACAAAGCCAACTCTTAAAAGTGTCAAAACAGAGGAAAACCCATTTGGGGGCTCCATTTCGCTCTTCCCTCCTGGAGTTCTCCCTATAAAACTAAAGGATGGTTTAAGGCAGGGTTCTTCAACCTTGGCGACTTGAAGATGTGTGGACATGCTGGCTGGGGAATTCTGGGAGTTGAAGTCCACACATCTTCAAGTCGCCAAGATTGAGGAACCCTGGTTTAAGGTTAGCTGATGAAATGGAGATTGCCAATGCTGAATATACTGTACATCATTTCCCTTCCCTGGATGAGCTGTTCTGCACGGCTCATTCCTTCATTCCTTCATTAACCCCTGCTTCCACAATGAGTTAATGGTCTCCTGATGAGGCCCCAAGAAGAAGACCGCCTTTGCCAACACGCCCATCACCACCCCAGATTGCCATTTCCAATTTCAAGCCTCTTTGCAAAGAGTCCAAACGGGGTTTCGACGGCAGTGAGCAGAAGGAGCAAGCCTGAAAGTTGTTAAGATTTGGGACAGGAAATCTATCTCCTTGTTCTGGGGGAACTTTCTGGCAGCTCTTCCACTGACAGATCGAGTTTAATAAGGGAAGCAATAAGAGATAAAGAAATCACTTTTCCAGAGAGCTGCCAAAAGCAGAGAAACAGCGGTCGCCAGAATCAAGGAACTCCATCTTGAAGGCATCTCAGCGCTTCCTCATGCCCTGACCGGCTGCCTCGTTTGTCAGTGGGAAGATGCCCTTCCAGATTAAGGACAACGTCCTGGTTGCACGTTGCAGCTTCCCACTGCCAGCACCCTCGACTCAGAGACAGAGTCAGGGCTGAGCGTCCCCCGTTCCCAAATGCTGAAGTGAACCTGGAGACCAGAGCAGACCATCCTGGGCCTGCTTAAAAAGCAGTTTCCTATAAATCTGGGGACGGATTCAGGGTTGGGTTGTGTGAAGAGGCTGGGGAGAGGAGGGAATGCAGGCCCTGATGAGACGGTGCACAGAATCACAAGAAGTGCAAAGGTGCAATGTCCTGTGGGAGAGAGCTCCAGATGTGCTGGGATGCAAACTCTCACTATCCCTGAATGCTGACCACCATGGCTGGGCAGAAGTCTTCCACCTCAGAATGTCTAGAAGGACCTTTGAGGCCACCCCTATTGAAATGATTGCTAGTCACAGCAAACTGCCTTATACTGGCTCAGACCACGGTCTGCTCCAGCTGGCAGCGCTTCTCCAGTAGACAACAGTCCGATCGCCTGTTCCCTAATCCTTTTAGCTTGCAAATATCATAAACTGCGTTGCCCCCCAGGCCCTGCTACCAAGGACCAGGGCAGCTCCGGCTGATGCTTCCAGCGGGTTTCCTAAAGCAGAGAGGAAAGGGGGCGGCAGAACATGAGTGGGGAACCCAGACTCCAGGGTTGGGTGGCCGCTGGTGGGAGACCCCTTTTTGGCTTTTGCCCAGGATGAGGGAGAACTTCCTGAAGCTGGACCCCAAGTCATCTGAAAGGCCCCAGACTAAGGAAGCCTGCCCTGGAAATGGGAATTAGAGTCTGAATGACGTCTGTAAGAAAGCCTGCGAGGTGGTCATTCAATTTGTGGTCGTTAGTTTTTTCCTTGGTCATCAATACATAGTGATTTGCATTTTTTTTATGGTGCTTTTATATCTTGTTAGCTGCCCAGAGTTCCTAGGGGGAGACAAGTGGCCATATACATTGAATTAAAAAAGAAATAACATAAAAATGCAACAGCATGTGTCCCTTGCTGCTCCTCTTCAGGGGCGAAAATGCCCACAAGCCATCCTGGTGGTGAAGTGCTCTGCTTTTTATACAGGGCTAGTATCAAGCCTCATCTGCTGGTGACAAGTGGTTTCTTCCATCCTGTCAGTCCTACAAGATAGACCAGACTAAGAAACCATTTACCACGTAGGTCAGGAGGGGCTTGTCTGAGTCGTTTTCTCACGTTACTTTCTTGGCCTGGGCTCAAGCCCCTCTTATCTGTCTGCTAGCTTGGTAGGGGTCTTCCTCCTGTCCTTCAAGGCACCCATGTTTCTCAACCTTGGCAACTTTAAGATGAGTGGACTTCAACTTCCCATGGCTGGCTGGGGAATTCTGGGAGTTGAAGTCCACTCACCTTAAAGTTGCCAAGGTTGAGAAACACTGCCCTACACCCTCTACCCATCCCCACTTATCACTTATTTCTGTTTGATTTCTACCCTGCGCCTCTATATGAACAAACCCTGCAGTGGCTAACAAAGTACCAACAGACTAGAACCACAACAGGAAGGCTGAGGTCAAATACCTGTTAAAAACCTCTCAAAAGAGCAGCATCTGAACAGGTTTGCTAAAGACAGAGAGAAGCATGGCAAGGTGGTCCCTCAGATTGTCCTTGCTGGCCACTATTCAAAGATGCTTGAAAACATCTGGGTAAAAAGTCCTCTTCATCCCAGGATGGACAGCCCATACCCTACAAGCTTTGCTTGGACACAAAGCCATCACACCAGCTGTTCCTCCCTTATTCCCATTTTGTCCTAAGACGTAGATGAGGTGAAGACCAGGATGGACAAATGGGAGTCTACCAGCATCTCTTCTGCATGTGTGTAATGGTCTCTGGGAATGGCCTCGGGAGACAGGAGGGACAGCCGCAGCCTAGACAACGGTCTGATAAACGAGATTTGAGTCCGAAGGAGGAGGGGTGGTGAAAGCATCTCAGAAGGGACCCTCCCTAGTTTTCCGGAGAGTCAAAGCAAGGGACAGGAGGGTTGTTTTCAGACGTGCAATATTCTGTTAATGTAACCTTACAATAAAGATAGAGCTAGCGTTCATTGTGCTTCTTGTCTTCCAAGGCTAACAACCTGCCCCCAAACGTTGGTCCTCTTTTAAGAAGCAAAGCAGGTGCCTGAAGACTTGGGGGCACTGAAGGACCACTTTCACGCCTTAAAGCTCCCCAGAACAAGGCTGTGGCCCTCAACAAGCCATGCAGAGCCCAAGGAGGTCTTCATGCTAAGAGGAGTTCTGCTCCCCTGCACGAAGAGAGGATGACTGCTCCAAAGTCGCCCCGTGCTTCGGTGGCAAGGTGGAACTGGATCACCCCAGCCCTAGTCCAGCAGTCTAACTGCTCCTCCACGCTCTGATCAGCCAGCCCTGGTCGCCATCGAACCCAGAGAGGAGAACCTGCCTTGTCTGTCAGAGAAAATATGAAGGTGACTGATGGCCAGCCACCGTGCGGAAAATACGTGGGCACGCTTCCCTGTTAATGGCTGCTGGAGGAATTGGGAGGGTTCGAAGCAGCTGGTGGGGAACAGGTGTTCCTTCCCTCCCACCAGGGGGGAGAAACATCAATTGTAATCTAGCAGTTCGTTTTAAAAAAGAAGTTTAAGCCAAGCAAAGGAAAAATGGAGCTCAGGATGAGTTGTCTCAAGGAGTGTTTTACCAGGGCAAACAGTGCTTCAAGGACAAGCAAGAAACTTGCTGCTATTTGAGGCAACTTCATTATAAAATCATTTTTAATAAGCCATCCGAGCAAAGAGAGGGAGAGCTCTTGCAGGGAAGGCCCCCGAGGGACCCCCGGGCTGCCCGGTTAGGCTATTAGGCAGAAACACACGAGGGACCAAACAGCGCTTTCTCTGGCCTCGGGGGACAGGATTCAGTTTCCGCCTTTTCTCTAGGGGCATCGGTGCCAACAGCACCAACCCTTAACTATCATTTCAGGAAAGTTCAGAGTTTGGGAGGAAAGTGTGTGTGTGTGTGTTTGAAAAAAACTCCCTTGACTTCACACTCAGATGGCAGAACTGGAGCTACCTAGAAAGTGAATAGTTGCTCTTGCTTGGCAAATTTCTTTCTCCTGGGCTTCCATGAAGCTCAACAAACAGCTTGCATGCGCACACACACACACACACACAAAGGAGGATTACTCCCATTACCAGCCTGATTTGGGCAGGAGAATCATCGGCCATGAACTGAATAATACACATAAAAGGCCAGCCTTTGACTGAGGCCCCAAGGAAAATACAGAAGAGGCCGATCCTTCTTTAAGACATGGTTCTGTGCATTTCACAAAGGCAAGACTCTTCGTGATGCTTCACAACAGACCTGGGTTGGGTGTCCCACCTACGGATGAACTGCACCCAACCGATTTCAACCCCCAATGTTCTCTTGAGAAGGTGCTTGAGGGAAACCACACGCTGTTGGAGCCGTGCAGGTATTTTATGCAGATACCAAAGCAGCATCCATGGGAAGCGGGGAAACAAGGCCCAATTTTGGTAACCCTGCAAAGCTAAGATGCCAGGGTGGGGTGGGAGAACCAAAGGAAAATCTCTGTTGGGTTGAGCTTAACTTTGTTCTCAACCTCAGTAACTTGAACTTGCCATCACATGTCCAAGCTCCTCTGTGGAATCACAAGGATTAGAAGATTATTTCATGATGTTCACCCTTCCTGCAGCATCGTCTAGCAAACTCACCTTAGAAGAATAAAGCAACTCACTGGAAAAGCCCTCAGGCAGGTAAAGGGATGAAGACACAGCAGATACCAACAATGGGATATGAATCCAGAAGCACAGTTTTTTTTTCCCCAAATGCATCCCCTTACTTGGGGAAATATTTATCCAGTCCAGCTCAGTTCCTGACTAGCTCTTTGGATTCCTCAAAATTCCTTGCCTCTGCGTTCCCCTCTTATCCGCCCCTGCCAATCAAGATGAAATTCTGTTGCAGAGAGAATATTTCACCCAGAGAAACAGCATTTCACCAAGGCCTGCATCTGCCACAACTCCTGTACATCATCCTATTTTTATTTTTTGCAAGCTTGTGGTCCACTCTGAAGCAAAATTGATTTCAGAACAATAGCTGCATCGCTCTCCCCATGCAGCCTCCCATCCACGTATTGATTTCAGGGGGATCCAACCCAACTGAGCCAACCTCATTAGGACAGGTAGTTGCATGCACAGAGAAGCCAACACGATCAGAAGGGTTACTCACATGTGTGCGTCTTCTTCGTTACCGAAATGCCTACAAGGAAGAGAAAAGGAGCTTCATTAGCAAAGAAATGAGATACTCTCATTAGCCTTAGAGGCAGTTGCCAAGGATAAATTGAGTAGCCCTTTAAAACGAATTGAGCCATAATAGACCCCCGAAGTGGGACAAGTGGAGAGGGCCCCGTCAGATTCCAGATGTTTTTGGCAGCTGGCTTCTTACGGGATGTCCTTCGACTTCTCTTTCTTGCCTGAAGCTCTGAGGTCACCCAGCCACACACCAGCCAGGTCAAACCCCACTTAGCTTTTCAAAAGTCAGCCAAGGCTGGCTATGCAGGAATTTTTGAATATTAACTAGAGATGCCAAGGAAGGAACGGGACCATCTTTACCCAAAGCAGATTCTTAATCACTGACTTCTGGCCCATCCGTGCCCTGGGAAAAACTCCAATTAAAAATCTGGGGGGTCAGAAGAAGGATCTGATAGTGCAATGTAAGCCCATGTCCCATCTTCTGATTTTTAACAGATCAAAAAACAAATGAAAAAATGTGATGGCTTCAATAGAGAGAATCCTGACTATGCTACGAATTACAAATCTTTCTTTTCCCTTTGGAAAATCAGCCTCCCCCACCCCAACACACACACATTTGGTTTCACTAACGTAAAGAGGTTTCATTCAGAAGGAATGAATGGATTCAGAGCGAATAGGAAATTACAATTCATTCACTACGAGCTGCAGCCCAGCCTCATTAAAAGCAAATAACCAGAATGGAATAGGTCTATTCTTCATGACTGGGCTGGATAAGGGATAGAGACACCACAATGTGCTGAAGAAACATATGTTTAGGAGTTTTCTATTTTTCTTAAGTCATACGGATGCACTTAAACCAAAGAGAATGGGTGTGTAGTAACACCAGTCTGGATTCTGGAAGAAGAGCCGTATAAAAGCAAAATACAGAGTAACATAAATAATAATACAGCTGCAGTATTTGTGTGAGTGTGTGGGGGTGTTGTGTGTTCTTTCAAAGTTAGAAACGAACTCTCTTAATTTTTAAAAACCAATTATAACATCTTTTTTAAAGTGGGTTAAAGGAATTTTGGAAACTCGGCCCATGCGCTTTTGAAAGCGAATCGTAGCCAATTCCCAAATATGAATTAATTTTCCATTCAGGAGAACGGAAATGGGCCAAATTCCCAGATTTTTTACATTAAGCACTTCAAGTCAGCCAATAAATCATCTTTAGATTTATCCTTGTGGTTTCCTTCCTAGGCGCAGGGACTAGCAAATCATCAGTGATGCAGGAAATGCTACCGCGCAGTCCTCCAGAGCCCCTTACTAGGACATCTGAGAGACATTGTTTTATGCCACCCAGTCCCCAATCTTCCGAAGAACCTTTGTTTTAAATTCATGGGTGATTCTGCCAGTCAGACAGGGAGGGGCATTTATTTCAGCACAGGGAGAGACGCTGCGTGGCCCAACAACCCCCAGCTTTGTTTTCTAAGCTTTTAAAAACTGATCTTTTTTTCTATGCATTCTGAAGCAAGCCCTATTTTGCTCAGGCAGTCCTTGTTCAAACGGTCAAGTATCTTTCATGCCACCTTGCTTAATATCCTTATCTGGGCATGGAGAAACCTGAGCAAAACTCTAAGGGCATATGAGATAATTATCCAAAGTGTTCAGAGGTAGTTTTAGGCTGAACAACCACTGAGTTACAAGACAGAGACTTTGACTGTAGGCATGAGGGCAATTCAGCCATGCTCTTTCTCATGCTTACAGAACACATCAGTGCTTCTGGCTCCTGGGCCACCTTGCCCAGTTTAATCCGCCAACCAGCATGTCAGGAATCCCAAACTGGGAGACTTCCTTGAAAGTAATCCGCACGGGGTGTACATAACGTAACATTACAGTTCACAGTGCTATTTTCAGGACTACGTTGTGGACTTGAGTGATTCCTACAACCTTAGAGAGCCAATCCTCATCAAGCTGTTGCCCACAACATCTTGCTCATTCACAAGGACTTCTGAACATCAACAAAGTGGGCTTCTTAGCAAAAGGAGGAGGAAAGGTCATGAAAAAAATCAAACAGTAACGTGGCTGCAGTTACCCTGAGCAAACATTTTGATGCTGTAATTATTGCACAGATTCTGTAGGCATGGAGAGGATGTGGATTTTTCCTCCTCCTCCTCCTCCTTTTGAGCTGAACCCATTTGTTTTGATCAGAAAGTCTATCAGGGCCCTTTACCTGCAACCTATAACCCTGATCTTTTCAACAACCCCAGAAGTCACCTCCTAACCAACTTTAAAAACGCAAAAACACATGCCTGTTGACGCACAACACAACCATTTTGTGCAACATGCTGTTCTGGGACAGGTTTCCCCTGCTTGCCCATCTCCAGAAGCAAAGAAAAGTCGAAGAAGGCTACGGGCCTGTCTTGGGATTTCCAAGCAACGCGATATACGGAGTAGGGGTGCAGATAAGGAGGCAGATCATTCAGTTTTCAAAACCCATAACTGGAGATGTCCACCCCTCATTTTCTTGTAGTTCCCCAATGGTTTTTGGGGCAACGCCAACTCCACGAAGGGTCAAACCTCGCGTTGAGAACGATGGAGCTCCTTATGCTTGAATTAAGAAGGAGGACCACAAGGTACTTCTCTACTTTCCCCTTTTCTCTTAAATCCTGCTTCAAGCGCTTCTTTGGACAACCTTCCCTAAGAGGTTCAACGTAGTCTTTGAGAAACGGGTAAAAAAAATGTTGTTCACACCATACTTAACAACTGATTCTAAGCTTGGGTCAAAGATGCACTAATTTTCTCCATTCCATTTTCTGATTCTTCAATGGATTCCCTCCAACTTAGGTTGGATACCCAGTTCTTTAAAAGGTCCTTGTTCGCATTGTAAAAAACTGGATCCTAAGTATCTTCATTTGCACTTTCTAACTCTCATTGCAATTACAGATGTGTAGAAATGCCACTAAAATATTTATTGTTGTTTACTGTAATCAGACAATGTGCTCCATAGAACCTGTAGACACTATCTCTGTATCGCCGAGAATCGGACATGATTGAACAGGTATCATCCTCAACGTCATCGTCATCGTCATCCTCCCTCCCTCCTCCTTCAGTCTCTTCTCCTCCTCCTCCTCCTTCTCTTCCCTTCTCCAAAATTCAAAACCTACGACATGAAAATAGCTCAGAACTTCCTTTTCTCCCTCCTCAAACTGCAAGGAAAGGACTACCGGAAGGTTGGCTGGATTGCGCCAGGGCCTCCAAGAGCTCCTGTAAATGGATAATTAGTCACTCTGAAGCAAAGTAGAAATAAAGGAAAAATGGATAAATTTAAATTATACTCCGCCTTTACAACTTGGCAGTTTAAGCTCACAATGATGTGTAATTACAAATTAAAGCTGTATGATCATGCTATAATTATATGCCATTATTCAAATACTCTTACCGTGTTTGGGAAAGTCCTTTAATAGGAGAGGGGAGAGGGGATGGGCGGGGAGTTCAGATGACAGAATCAGGGAGCTTCAGACACTTTACCTTTTGCACAAAAGCATGTGCCTTTTCACAACATTTGTTAGGCTGAAGAAGTGCTCCCAGATTCCTTTTGATGCTGTAAATTTGTAATCCTTCAAAGCTTTTTCTTTAAAAAAAAAACAGGAGCTGATTCTTTGTACAACTCCTATTTCTGCCTGCCATGAGGCAATAAGTTTGCATCTGGTTCTGCAGACTGCTTCAGAAAGCCTTTCAACTGCAGCACTTAAGGCATTAGAGATTAGCTCCCTGTTAAATTTTTCAGAAGCCCATGAAGTTTTAACTTCTTGCTCATTCTCCCAGGGAAGAGCTGATGGTCTGGGTCATATGTGAATAAACTGAAAGGAAGGCAAAGCAAGATGGGAAAGGGAAAAGGTGAGGCACAGGCCCACACCTCCGCCCACACCTCCGTCCATGCAAAAAATGGATCTGAATTTCTGCAGACCGCTCTTCCCTGAAAAACCTTCTGGGCTAGAATCCCCCGAAGAGCTTTGTTTTTTAAAAAAAATAAATAAAAATACAGCACTTATTTGAGGAAAAAAAATGTAAAAAAGAAGAAGAACCCCAAGGGGAAAACTAATTCAAGCTCAACAAAACAGAATGAATGATTATTTGCTACTGAACCTAAACTACACTGAACTGACAAGTGTTTGACAGGCCTGGAATATGTTTCCATACTATTTAAAAAATCAGGGAGATCACAAAATCATTGTGAGATGTGTGTGTGTGTGTGTTGGTTAAAAAAAAATTAAACATCATTGACACGTTTTAATACCGAGAACCACTGCTAGATTTGCCCTCCTCTCAACTAGTCATCTTGAGCCCAGCTCTTCTGAACTGGACGGTTTCCGGATGGCACCATGACGGCCACCATCTTGACTTTTTTGACCATAGCCTGTAGGCAGCCCTGAAAACAGGAGAGGCATCTTGGAGCCACCCATGACCTAATATTGGAGACACCAGAAATTGGGGGGTAGGGTTTGGCCCTTTTCCTAACTTGGCTCTTGAGGCAGGAGAGGGAGGCTGAGCAGTCCCCTCTTTTCGATGCGCCCACACAAAGGGCGATCCATTCAGGCAAGTCCCAGAGGATTTAAATCAATATTTCCTGGCCCGATGGACCATGAGACTGCAGCTTTTAAGAATCAGGGGAAGCGGCTGCTCTAATTAATGGAGCCAAAGCTGCAGGATATTTCTTGCACCCCGAAGACCCGCTCTGCAAAGCTGAAGTTCGAACCCCGACGCCTCTTTGGCTCCCCGTGCGCCTTTGCTCTCTTTGGCTGACTGTCACGATCTGCAGAAAGGATGAAGGTGGACCGGAAGCTTCCCGGGCCCCTGGCTGCAGCAAAGGAGGTGGGGGGCCTGCAACGTGGCTGGCAGCAACAGCTCTTAGAGCCACATCGCTCCCTGCATTGGTTCACCCATCTCCATGTTCTTCTTTTAAGGGCAATAACGGGTTACAGCAGCAACATGCACATCGTTACGCATGAGATGTCAGAAATGTCT